TCAAACAAAAAAATTGGTAAGTTGTTATAAATATTTTACACATATGACGAAAATTTGTTTTACAGCATGTCATTTACAAAATCGAAAGAAAAGCAAATAATGTACTCTAAAAACCTATAAAAATGATAGCAATCACACCCTGTTATATGGTAATGAGTGAAATGATATTAAAAATACTTAATGTACACCGCAAATAGGGATATTACACGATTTGTAAAAATATAGGGTTAAATCATTAACCTGTCACTAGCCTGCTATAATCTACCCATGTGTCCGTCTGCTCAGACCGTCTGCACTGTTTTCTTTCAGTCAGTACATATTTTGAAATTTTTCCCTAAAAGTGATGAACTCTAAAAGTGAAAAAAATTTGTCCAGATTGAAAGATGGACATGTCCATTTAAGATATTAAGTGTGAAAAAAAGGAGTTAAACATACTTTCCCTATAATAACTATCCCAAATTCCTGTTGCACTAATCAGATAATATTGTCAAACAAAATATTCAATCTTTTTTTTTTTTTCACTGTGGCTTAAGTATTCAACTTGTAATGTAATAAATGGTATTGACTATACTGAAATATGATATTTTAAACAGGGCAACCATTTAGGAAATTGATTTAACAAAATAATTCAGGTATCAATAACTTGATTTCCGTTCATACATCAGCATCAGTGATTGTTCATTTTGAATGAGTCATCATGCAGGCAACTGCTGCACAAAGAAACATTTAAACTTCCTTGTATTTACCTATAAACTTAAATTGTTTTAATATATTGAACTCTGTACTGTTGTTATCTTTGGTATCAACCTAATAAAAGTATATTATTTTAATTATGACAATATAAAATCTTCTCTTACAGAAAATAGTTTATATTATAGAAAAATACAGTATAAACTAGGTAAAGAATGCAGAAAAAAAATAAAAATTTAATCAAATTATATATTTGAATCATAAAAAAAATAAAATTCTATAGCATGAAAAAATGAATTATTGGTATATCTACCAAACAATAAATGGAGTGTACAATTATTTCTTAAGAGATTTTTTTCTCTATACCAACACTGCACAAAGAACTTTAAAAACAAATTCTATTATAAATTTCAAAATAAATATATACATAAGTAAATATAAATTTATAGCTGTTGTAAAACTATGAAAAATATGAAGAAAAACAGATTATAAAAATCTTACTGTATCCATTTTGTATAAATCCTTTTTTTAATTTTTCAATCTGCAAACACTTAAATCAGTCTGAAAACGTTTAAACTTTCAACAGTTTAAACAGAGATACCTGAATGCATGAAAGAATTCGAAATATCTAAATTTATGTACACATAAATAAAGAGATTGAAAAATAACATGCACATTTTTTATTGAGGTTAAACTTTCCTCTTAGGTGTGCTTTTGTGTGTATGTGTGCGCTTGATATTTTTAATAAGGAAAAGTACTTCGGGAAGATATAAAAATCTATTTTGCATTTTAAATCTTGCATGCATTTTTGCATGAATGCTTTTTTACGTAACCTTACGTGACCTTTCTACAAGGTAATAGGTGTAAAGTAAGGCAAGCATACAATAAAATTATGTATGGTAAATTCATTCAATTCTTAGAGCATAAAATATTTTGCAAGTTACAAAATTATTACTGGTATAATATTACAGCACTTAAACAGGTAATAATTCTACACAAAAAATATACAAAAATATTATCAAATTTCATAAATTATTAAAATTAAAATGCATTTTAGAATACAGTAATTGAAGATGAACAGTGGCCCACCCAGTAGTAGACATGCCTAAGCAGCCTTTAAAGCCTACCAAAATTGGGTTCAAGCCATACTAGGGTCATGACATGTGACATTGAATCAGATTCAATTATCATTATAAAATATCGATTTTAAAGCTGAATGATTCACAATCAGGCTTTAAACCCTTAACCTGCTGCGACTGAAAGTGATCATACAGCCCATGTCATCTAGACAGAGTCAAACCAGCCTGCACTGATCTAGAATATCTGACCATGCTTTATGTTTTTATTTTTGTACATGTGTTTTGATACTGAAATCCCTTCAACATCGAGTGGACTGTTCCGAATTCAAAGAAGGAAAAGTCCATTAAAGAAATTCAGCAGTTAGGAGTTATCTTTAATCTATTAATTACCTGACAATATCACACTTTATTACTTTTATTTTTAAAATTTTTTGCAAAGTCATTCTCCTAATCTAACTGATGTTCGATTTAATAAATTACCAAATAACTCCTATTCTTTTAACCTCTTTAACTTATCTTTTTATCCACTTTTTCAAAAAGGAAGATTACCTTTGAATCTGTGGCAGATTAAGTCAAAGACCTCTTGCTTCTGTTATGGGATACTCAGGTTTTGTGTTATTATAGCTGATGGGCTATTTTGAAAATTATATATAAATTTGGGATTAAGAACTGATTAACTTTAACAGGATTTTTCTTTCATCATATCCCCTTGTTAGTTTAACTTCTACATTAATTAATTGAAGGATCAATTACAATTTAAAAGAAGTAAAAAGGTAGTCTATTTAAATTGTACTCAAATGAACCATAAAGATCTTAAAACATACCAGAAACAATCAAACTGTGAAAAACAATTTATTTTTGGAACATATTTCAAATAAACAGCCTGATGGCAGGAAAAGGACAAATGTATATGACCTTCCCTGCAAGTAGTGGACACAAAAAGTTCAAATCAAAGTAAATAACCCATTCCGTACATATATTTAAATATTATACTCCCCATATAAAACTCTAATAGACTGTCCCAAATTCAAAACAGGGCAAGTCCATTTACATTCAATCAAGTAGGGTTGTGAAGATGTTTCCCTCCTTGTTTTTGATAAGTGAGCAGTTTATAATTTGCCTTTGACCATATAACATGTTTATGTGTAACCTAGGTATGTAGAAAATGTTGTTATACTATTTTTGTATCTTCTTGTTTTATGTGAACAGGCTAGTGTTCATGTTTTATATACTTGGCACAACAGTGATATGCCAAAAAATTGTAAATTTTTGTGAGTACTATTTTTTGTCAATTTCTCCATCAAAGATTTTAGTACTGTATCTGCAGTAAACTTGTAGTTATTTGCATGGTACTGATTTTGTAAATTTTCTTTAATTAAATTAGATATCACAGCTACTGTAACATAATATTGTAAAATCATGAATAAATCAGAGGATTTTTTTAACATATAACAAATTTTAAGGCCGGGGCTGTAATTAGTTTTGTGAATTTGTGTACCCTGAGAGAGATGATTGTCTGATATATATTGAAAATAACAAACACATATATGGACATCTATTTTGTGTGTTTTACCTTTATAAATCAAATCCTTTTAAACAAAGAAATTTATAAATTGGAATTCATAAATTTGCATAGTTATTGCTTGTATTAAATCCATTGGAATCCAGAAATGTCTATCAAAATCTCATGGACTGATTCCATTGAAATATCTATAATGACAGTGTTTAATTGAATCACCAGAAATGAAAATATGATTTGACCTTAACCACAAAATTCATCACCACATTATACAAACATTATACAGTAGACAGTGTCTGTCTCCTGCCAAAGTATAATATCATTATGCAGGTATCAAGATCATAGATTTTTATAAAACTGGAGGCAATCTGAGAAATTAACCTCGAAACAAGTTCTGTAGAACATTAATCCGGTGCCTATGTAGTACTTCAGTAAAACTAGCAGGAAAGTTTCCTTGCATGAATGAGTCTTGAGTCCATGGCGGGATTTAAACTCACAGCAGTCCGGACAAAGTTATTCAGTAAGCAACTTTACTATATTGGCCACTGAGGAAACAAACAAACAGACATTGAAATAAATGATACCAACTCACTTGTTACTCATCAATGATATCATCATCATCATCATAAAATATCTCAAAGTCCAAATATCTTATACTCATATTTCACTGTTTATCCAAGCTGTTTTTATACAGGTAAACATCAAAACAGATATCTTGGTCAATATCTCCAGGTATTACATCTTTACCAGATGTTTAACTGTTTAAACATGTACTTACTTAATGAAGAAGCCTTGAAATATGAAGAAGCCTTTTGCCTCCTTAATTAACACCTGTTTTTTCCCTCTAGTTGAGTCAGTTTTTATGACATTAGAGTACTTTTGTAAAGTGTAAGAAGATTTATTATACTGTACAAGAATGTTTTTTCATAACCAACATTGTATAAAATAGTTGATGACCAACAATATACAGTAATTGTGAAGAAAAACAATAAATATCTTGTTCAGGACTTCAAGAGAAGTAAATTATGTTTTCACTGCATTTAGTAACTATATCATATCAAGGGACTTAATACTACAATTATAAAGTACCAGCTCTTTTCATTATTACCTCCCTTAGACATTTTCACTAAACAAGCAAAACAAATTATACTAACTAGTAATTATCCAAACCGTCACTAAAAAAAGACATTGATTTACTTTTAAGATTTGCATTAGGTACAGACAAGCCAAACTGCAAATAAGCCTGTATTAACAGGTTGTGTTCTTCATTGCAGATGAGATAGGGCATTGGCATTTTGTTCATAACTAGCTACATAACAAAGCCGAACACTGTCACCATTCAAACAGCTCAGATCATTGACAGTGCAAAAGCTATATTTTCTGACAGAACCACTTTTGTATCATGAGAGTTTAACTGATATAATAGACCATAAAAGCTTTTAAGCGCAGTATGTCTAAGCATAATTCTAAAATAGCGAAAAACAGAATCTCTAAAGAACGCCCAAACATGATGAAATTGTAAATGTTGCAGTTTCTATTTGATTGAGCGTGATCATGGATGGTATTGGAAAGTGCAAGTTACAATCCATATCCCCTAGCATCGGCTTCAGCAAAATTCAACAGTAAACAAAAATTTTGAATTTAGAAACATATTATAGACCATCTAGTGCAAAAAGCAGACTTATGACTACCACTATCAAAGTAAGTGTAATCTGACAATAATTTATCATGCTAACTTACTTCATCACATGCAGGACAACGTGGTCTTATCAATTCCGCGTAATGTCGTTCACAGTAAAGTTTTCTGGAATGCTGGCAGTAGGTCATGTCTACTAACAGTTCTTCGCACGTGGAGCACGTGAAACAAGCCGGATGGAAACATACGTCAGCACTAAGTTTACCAGTTAGGACGACCTGCTCACCTTTCTCGATCTCACCACCGCAGTTAAAACAACTCTGAAAATATACAATATACATAATAATAATTAAACTTGTTAAAAATTTCTGAAGAAAGTGAAATTTAAATAACAGTATTAATATACAATATATTATTGTAGGATGACAAAGTGAATATTTCATATGCCAGATCGATCTACTTTGATATATACCTAAATCTTCATGCAACAACTATTTTTATATACATGTATGACCAAAATAAAATTCATAATTTTGTTTAGTTTCCAAATTTCCCTTTTTTCACACAAACAAGCCCTAGATAAGCAGATGGAAACTGCAATGGTTGTTTTCCTGTTTTCAGCATATCCCTTTCTTAAGTATGTTAATGTTCATATAAAACCTTTCTAAATAAAACCCTTCTAAATAATAATAGTATTATTGATGGAAAGACCTGTGGGTGAATCTATAATTTTCACAATGATATTTATTTCATGTAACACAACTTTCCACAAGGGTAGAATGGTAGATGGGAGGTAACTCTTTCAGGCTTACATAAAATAAAACCAGGAACTATCATCAGAGATGCTGCTGTGTTGATTTTTTTACCAGCTGTCAATCAAATAAATGTTAACAGGTATTCATTAATGTCAAGATTTTGACAGATTTCTAGTAAGGAAAACATACTTGGAAATCACTGTAGATGGAGAACTACAAAATATTTGTTTGTTTGTTTGTGTTTGCATGACATATGAGCCGGCAGACATTACTCAGAATGTTGAGCCTGTTACAGCAAGTCAATCAACATAACTTCACTGGGTCTGAATGTAATGGAAACCAACCATACAGATTATCAGAATCTCAAAAAACATTTTGTCTCCCATTGAATGGTTTTTAAATTTGAATAATCTTACAGCTTGAAAACTTGCAAAATAAAATTATACTTCTTCACAAAATTATGAAAAGATGAAAATGATAACAATGATTTCCAAAATACTATGAATATTTACATAATACCTGTATTATAAAACAATTCACATAGTTTATTCATATTTCTTTTTTTCATTTTGCTATCACACATAAAAACATTTTGTTTTTAAATCTTTGAAGTCAATCTGCTAACTCATTTCAAATGATTTAAGAAAATTTGAATCAAACTTTTAGTTTCTGTTTGAATTGTTTCTTATATCCATAGTCTGAAAGCATGATATAGCCTTCAGAGAGTCACATCAGTTTGTTTCTTTTTCTGGCTTTAAGGACAATTTTAACACATCTTTTGGATAAATCCCAGCGGTCAATCCACCTAGTATCAGCTTTCCTGCATAACTCAGAAAACATGAAAGTTGGAAGCTTCAAGACCGCTTAATTTGATATTTGTGAATTTTAAATTCAAAGTAAGATAAGTAAATCACAGAAATGTAGCAGATGTATAGATTTAAACAAAACAGATTGCATGAACCTATCCAAGCATGCCTGCCAACATGTTACCACTGCCGTACACCCATCAATTATCACTGACAGAAAAATTCTATCATCTGTCAGAGAGTAGAAATTTATGATTCTTATTTGATCTGTCAATATCATAAATTATATTTTTTGCTTGGAGTAAATACAAGAAAACAGGCTAAATATGCAATTAAAGAAGTTATACGCTTCCATAACCAATAAGATGATGTTAAAGGAACTCTACTAAGAAAATTATGCAAAAGATAATAAATAGATATTATCAGATATACTGAGAAATAAATTGATAATCAATTTTTGCGCTATTTAACTTTCAAACGTTTTGGAGTTATTTTGCACAATGAAAATGACTTTTCTGGAAAAAAAACCATAAGATCTGAAATTTCGCAAACAACTTATTGGTATAGACCTACATTAAATGGTATAAAATTCTTGAAAAAATATAACTGTCATGAGTATAAACTAGTCCCTTTTAATAAGAAAAACAAGAACTGCCACTGTCATGGTGTGAAAACCCCCGCATACCACTTTGTCAAAATCAACAGTTGCCATTTAGAGCTCAAGAACAACCTCCCTGCCAAATCTGAGGTTACTAAGTCAGTACATTGCTAAGTTATGCATACTACATGCTTCAAATGTGAAAATGTCAAAATCAAAACACTGCGGACATGCATTCTTAAGCATTTAAGCAGACAAGCTTATAATAGTAAAAATCCCTGTGACCTTGACCTTTGACACAGTCACCATAAAATCAATAGCGGTCATCTACTAGTCATAAACAACCTCAATACCAAATATAAAGACTGTTGACCAAAGCATTTTTATGCAACTGAGCGGACAAGCTCTTATAGTCTAGGCCACTGTGACCTTGACCTTTGACCCAGTGACTTCAAAATCAATAGGGGTCACCTAATGGTAAAGATCAACCTCCATGCCAAATATGAAGACTGTGGGTCAAAGGTTTCTTAATTTATTGGGCAGACAAACTTTTTGAAGTTAAGGTCCCTGTGACCTTGACCTTTGACCCAGTGGCCTCAAAATCAATAGGGGTCATCTACTAATCATGACTAACCTCCATGCCAAATATGAAGACTGTGGGTCAAAAGAATCTTAAGTTATTGGGCGGACAAGCTTTTTTAATCAAGGCCCCTGTGACCTTGAACTTTGACCTAGTGGCCTCAATATCAATAGGGGTCATCTTCTTATCATGACTAACCTCCATGCCAAATATGAAGACTATGGGTCAAAGGAATCTTAAGTAATTGGGCAGGCAAGCATTTTTTAGTCAAGGTCCATGTGACCTTGACCTTTGACCTAGTGACCTCAAAATCACTGTGGGTCAAAGGAATCTAAAGTTATTGGGCAGACAAGCTTTTTAAGTCAAGGCCCCTGTGACCTTGACCTTTGACCAAGTGACCTCAAAATTAATAGGGATCATCTACTAATCATTACCAATCCAAATACCAAAGATGAAGACTGTGGGTCAAAGAAATCTTAAAGTATTGGGTGGACAAGGAAAAACCGACGGATGGCCGGACAGCCGGACGTCCGAAAAGACAAGCTGATTCCAGTATACCCCCCTTACAACTTCCTTGTGCAGGGGTATTTTGACCTGGTGGCAGCCTCTCGACCCTGTTATCATGGGTTAGAACTCTACAAGGATAAGAGAAGTATAAATGAGCTGGAAGCTTCCATCACAAATCAGCTTAAGTAAAATATTGTTTGGAACAGTTCATTATTCATTATCAAGATTATGATTTAAAGTTTGTCAGCAAACAGTATTAGAGCCTAGACTGGCTGGCCTCAGGCTCTATACTTAGGTAGCAACGACTAATATTATAACTTCCGGTTCCGACAGGGTAAGGATAAAACTAGTGGACTAACCCAATTGAGCAATTGGTGTAGTATTAACACTGCAGTGGGTTCTAATAACTGGAGTCTTTGCATCTCTTAGCTCCTGCAGGCCAGGTGGTTGTCAATTGACCCCTTGTGTTGCTTTGAATTTTGTAACATCAAAGTTAGCAAAAGTCATCTTTCCTGTTTCAGAGCCATATGACCTGTACTGTGTTTGTGTTGGTGCATGGTAAAACCAAAGGAACACTGAAGTGTCTAATTAACCAGACTTATTCAAGTTATGGCATATTACTACATCAAATAACAGACAATACTTTAAGGGTTGAGAAAAATTTCTTAGATGATTAATTTTCTGCAGTCAGATCTTAAAATAGCTAAAGCACACAACTAAGAGCAGACAATAAATTACTTTTCAGAAGTACTTTTTTCAGAATGATTCATCATACACTTAATTTGCTCTTTACCAGTGTTATAAATAAGAAAATAAGTAATGAAACAAATGTAAAAAATGTGTACAAAATTTACCCTGTAATTTTTGTTGCTAAGTAATCTGCGATATTAATACAAAATGTGAAGTATACTAGCTTGTATCATAATTATGCTGAAAACAATGATATCTAATTAGTGAAGCTATAATTTATTTAACTAATTTCATATTGGTACTATTGAAAATTTACTGTTTTTAATCAAATACAATCTTGTGAAAGCACTTAAATTTCTCAACCCTCAGTCTGAACTTTTTAAAAAACCACAGAGTCTTGATGACCCTTGACCGCTTGCCTGAAATCCATTGCTAGAAAAGTTTAACTTTTGTAGAAAACCAAAATTAATTAAGCATAAGTGAAAGTTTTTTTCATTTATTTAAAGCAGATCAGATCAACTTGCTGTAATATATTGTATATTCTCTAAAGTATCTTTTTATTTATTCATTTTAAGGGGTTGGGGTGGCAGGTATCTAACACTGATTTTGTCTTGTCGAAGTTTCAACCATACAAGCTATTAATAGCTTTTCATCAATCAAGTAAAGACTCTATAGCATTTACAGACTTTACTTCCCAAAAATTACTTCCTAAAAATATATATTCTCCCTCCATTTATTGACTGATAATAATTTATTGTTCAGACATGAAGTTATTAGTAAAGATGAGTTTTGTGTTTTACGCTACAACACCATCATTTACAGACAAATACATCAACAAATTCTGAATTGCAAAGATTTTTTATTTTCAAGATACATTTTGCAGAAAGGCTATTTTTGCCCATCTGGAAAATTTCTGTTTAATCCATGCAGTGAAATAAAAAGAAATCTATTGCTTATTACCCATTGTACTCGTGACCTTGACCTTATTTAACAAAACAAGAAGCAACTGCATTCACATGTCAAAAAGATTTTTCTTTTATATCAATTTAACACATCAATATGCATCGTGACCTTGTCCTTCATTTTTTTTTATCTGCAAATAGAACTCATCAAGGTGCATACACATGTAAAGTTTAAATGTAATAGATAAGTTAATGATCATACATAAAAACTTAATCAAAAAGGTTAACTTCCAATGCCACTGAATGGTTCATGACAATAGGTTTTTTTCTCTCTTCAAAACATTGAGCTAAAAAGCAGTTCTCTAAATGAAGAGACACAGATTATTCATTATTTTATACTTCCTTACAGACCAAAACACAATCATAAAAGACCATGCCATTGTCTCTGATGTCAAATACTTCGATGTTAACTTACTGTTGTTTTTTGAGCAGGTTTGACAACACCTAAATCCATGGCAATGTTATCTCTCAGTTCCCTAAACACCTTGAACTCCTTCACTTCCATTGGACCATCTAACATCTTGCAGAAGTCACTGGAGAGATCTTGTTTTGGAAGTTGGTATATTAGTTGAATGTCCCTGTACTTCTCACCAGGTGATCCTAATCGTGGAACTTTGTGATTGGGTAACTGTTCCATGTACTCTTCAATCTGGAAACAAATAAGTGTTAAGTTTTCTTAATAGGTATGAATTAAGTGCTTTCCAAAGCATCTTAACTTTCTGATGATTTATGACATAAATAAATCTATAGTATGCACAATTAAATCTAATAAATGACAAAATGAAAAGTTTTTCTTCTTTTGGCTTACAATTGAAATATGAAAGAAGTGTTTATGAATAATGTAATGTCAAGGTTTAGCATTTGACTTGTGTATACATTTTTTTTTTAAAAAAGCTAATCTTTAATAATGAGAATAAAGACCAAGAAAGGACCGCAACATTCATGAAATGCAGCTGCCACAATATCTGAAAGCAATGGTATCCAAAGGGGCACCAAACTGGTAGGGGCCAGTGGGGTGGAGGATTTATTAACTAATTTTGCTAGACTTTTCCAATGTATCATGCATAACCAATACTCAGTGATTCATGGAAAAATCCCTTACTTGTCATACACAATTTTTATTGCAAAGCATCTCTATTAATTTAAGCTTTTGATTTGAAACAAAGCACAAATTTTGACCTAGGTCCTAGCAGTACACATTGCCCAATAAAGTTCCTTTAAAATATATTTTTTTAAATGCAAGATCTATTAAATGCCTTGTTTCATAGATAACTTTATTAGCACATTCTCAATTTGAAATCCGGACCTTGAAAAAAAAATTTTTTCATACAAAACTATAGACCACATACAAAACTATAGACCACTTAAAAAGAAAGAAAATTGAAGAATACTTTATCATTAACAATGGGTGGTGTATGCAACAATCAAAACTAGAACTATCACTAAATGTGATTAATACCCCCACAAGACTGCTTCGGAAATGAGGATGTTACTAGTAACAGAATACCTTGTAAAAGAATTGAAATATAGAGTTATGGTTGTGGGCAATTAAAGATAGTTGTGGTTCTTATATGTTGCATTTCCTTTCAATGTGGTTGGCCATTGATGAAGTTTAATTGAATTACTCTGTAATAAGTTCAGAAAGACAAAGAAAAGGAACAAAGGGCAATTACTCTATAAATACATAAGATAGAGTTATAGTTCTTGTGCAATGCACTTCCTCTTATTGTGCTTGACCATTGTATGAAGTTGTTTTGAATTCCAACCAGTACATTTTAAGTTATGCTCCTGACAAGGAAAAGTATCAAAGGGCAGTAACTCTGTATTTTGTCAAAATGGAGTTATGGCTCTTGTGCACTGCACTTCCTTTTAATGTCCTTGACAACTGTATGAAGTTGTATTGAATTCCAACCAGTAGTTTTCAAGTTATGCTCTGGACAAGGAAAAGTAACAAAGGGCAATAACTCTGTAATTAGTCAAGATGGAGTTTGAGGGCCAGCAGCTATGGTTCTTGTGCACTTCACTTTCTCTCAATGTGCTTGACCATTGTATGAAGTTATATTGAATTCCAACCATTAGTCTTCAAGTTATGGTTCGGACAAAAAAAGGCAATGGAAAAGTAACAAAGGGCAATAACTCTGTAATTACTTTAAATAGAGTTATGGTTCTTGTGCACTGCACTTCCCCTTATTGTGTTTGACAATTGTATGAAGTTGTTTTGAATTCCATCCAGTTGTTTTCAAGTTATGCCCTGGACAAGGAAAAGTAACAAAGGGCAATAACTCTGTAATTAGTCAAGATAGAGTTATGGTTCTTGTGCACTGCACTTCCTCTCAATGTGCTTGACCATTGTATGTTAAAGTTATATTGAATTCAAACTATTAGTCTTCAAGTTATGGTCCGGACAAAAAAAAGCAATGGAAAAGCAACAAAGGGCAATAACTCTGTAATTACTTTAGATAGAGTTATGGTTCTTGTGCACTGCACTTCCCCTTATTGTGTTCGACAATTGTACGAAGTTGTTTTGAATTCCATCCAGTAGTTTTCAAGTTATGTCCCGGACAAGGAAAAGTAACAAAGGGCAATAACTCTTAATTAGTCAAGATAGAGTTATGGTTCTTGTGCACTGCACTTCCTCTCAATGTGCTTGACCATTGTATGTAGTTATATTGAATTCCAACCATTAGTCTTCAAGTTATGCTCCGGACAAGGAAAATGCAACGGACGTCTGGACCGACCGACAGACCGACCACCGGGTGACTCCTATATACCCCCCAAACTTCGTTTTTGGGGGTATAATAACTCTACACTGATTGGAATAATGCTTCTGCCAAAATATCAGGTAATTACCACACCATCTTGGAATCAAACACGCAAACACTGTGATTGCACAATAGATTTTCTGCATCATTTCCTACTTAATAATGTCTACAAATTGAAGGCATTCCTTTTTGCTATAAAGTAAGAAATTTTCACTTCACAGAAATTTCATATTTTATTGTTTTCAATAAACACATGAATGGAAGCTCTTTAAAAACATAAAATAAGCAGTTTTCCAACACTCCCAAATTATCAGAAAAAATAAATATGCCAAGTATTCTTACAAATGTCTGTCCAATATAAACTTTAACAAGAGCACCGCTAGGCCCAGCATTATATGCCCGAAAGTGTTTCTTTTTTTTTTTAGTAAGGATGAAGCATTTGTAAGACATTACATAAATTAAATAAAGTATAACCTCCTTCAAATAGCAATCCCCCTTAAAAGTTTAAATATTGTGGGCCAAATGGAACTTAAGTTATGCTCTGGAAACTGTTTTCAGTTTTGAGGTAATAGCCACCTTGATTTTTGACCTTGTGACCCCAAAATCAATAGAGGTCTTCTACCCAATATGGACAATCATCCTATGGAGTTAGAATATTGTGGGCCAAATGGAACTTAAGTTATGTTCCAGAAACCAAATTGCTAACGGACGGACGAACAGACGGACAGATGTCCGTCTGTCCGTTAGCAATTTGGTTTCCGGAGCATAACTTAAGTTCCATTTGACCCACAATCTTCAAACTTCATAGGATGATTGTCCATATTGGGTAGAAGACCCCTATTGATTTTGGGGTCAAAAGGTCAAAGGTCAAGGTCGTTATTACCTTAAAATTGAAAACAGTTTCCGGAGCATAGCTTAAGTTCCATTTGACCCACAATATTCAACCTTCATAGAATGATTGTCCATATTGGGTAGGATTTTGGGGTCACAAAGTCAAAGGTCAAGGTCACTATTACCCTAATACTGAAAACAGTTTCCGAAGCATAACTTAAGTTCCATTTGGCCCACAATATTCAAACTTCATTCACCCTATTGATTTCGGGGTCACTAGGTCAAAGGTCAAGGTCACAATTACCTTAAAACCAAAAACAGTTTCCAGAGCATAATGTAAGTTCCATTTGGCCCACTATATTCAAACTTCATAGGATGATTGTCCATATTGGGTAGAAGACCCCTTTTGAAATTTCAGGTCACAAGGTCAAAGTCACTTTTACCTTAATACTGAAAATAGTTTCTAGAGCATAACTTAAGTTCCATTTGGCCCACAATATTCAAACTTCATAGTATGATATTGTGCATATTGGATAGAAGACCCCTATTGATTTTGGGTCACAAGGTCAAAGGTTAAGGTCATTATTTATAACTCAAGTATTAATCAACCTACAGCTGTAAAATTTTATAGGATGAACAGCTAAATCCCATGTCTTACAAATGCTTCATCCTTACTAAAAAAAACACTTTCGGGCATATAATGCTCAGCCTAGCAGTGCTCTTGTTTCTTACTGTTAAGTACTGAGGATTGTCAAAGCACACTGTTTTATAAGCAGCTCTTGTTCACTTGTCAAAATATCAAAATATGCTCTTTAGCAAGGTTTTTTTTCCAGGGAAAGGAAAGTCCTGGAAGTCATTTTCAAAAATTGCGTATGTAATACTTGAGCGATGTTAGACCATCATAAAAATGTGTACTCGGTCTATTTTACATGAATTCCCAGAAATCTAAGGTTCCTTACTAAAGTGTTTTAAACAATGATATTTGAAGAAATAAGGTTTGATTTATTTGCAATTTGATCATATAAAAATTATGTTATTTTTTATGCCCCCACTTAGGGGGCCGGGAGCTTGGACATGATAGATTTGCCCATGTCTGTCCTTCCAGCTGTCATGCTGTCTCCCTATCACCAAGTCCACTGTAGAATGATAAAATAGTAAAATGTTGGCACATTCATGTCCTATAAACACATTTCTAGTTTCATATTGAATTATTTAAATTCTTTTAGATAAGAAATAATGAAATTTTACCTTATTTTTTTTGCTATGTAAGAATTTATCTTAGACAGAACTTCATCCATATTCAGACAGGGATTGAAGTGGATGAGGATTTTATTAGAGACCTAAGTTGACCAGACATAGATTCATTTAGTTTAGATTTGTTTGGTGACTAGATTTATTGACAACTCATTGAAGTCTTAAGATAACTTTATGTAGCAATTCCAATGAAGGCAAATTGGTAAGATGGTGTGTATCAGGAATGACAGATCTGTTCACAATGAAGACATACAGAGATATCTAATTGATTTATGTGAAGATTTGTGACATTTTATGTGGGAGTTTTTGATTAGAATGTTTTTTTTATTGTTATTTTAATCAAGTTGCGTCTGCTATTCCTCAAAAAATTAGATTGGTCAGTAGGAAGCTGTTTAGTACATAACAGTTTTCAGAGACCTGAAAGCCAGATTTATGATGAAGTGTAATGTCTCTTTCCAAAAAAAACAACCTTTTTCAAAGATCTATTTATTGACATATAAACGGATGACTGGTAAACAAAAATAAGGGCAGTGACTTGTTTTTGAACCTTATTAATGTCCTCAATCATTTATTTATTATATATTTATTCACAACATTAAACCATACTCTCTATCACAAAATGAGATTTTATGATACAAATGACCAAATGTGACAAAAATGATTTTAAAACAAAATTTGATCTCAATCTATAAGAAATAAGAACGTACAAAGGCAGTCTGGCCATTCATTATTGGCACCTACTGTGTCATACTGGTTACAATCAAAGGTTATATGTTGGCATTAATTATTAGAGAATGCATTCTATTATAAACATAGAAAAACAGGACACATTTAGTTGTTATTTTTATTGACATATTTATTACATAATGGATTTTACATGTTCTTAAAAATGCTTCATTTTCTTGCCACTTTTCTATCAAAAAGTGAAAGGAAGCTGGATTTTATTAATGTTCAACCATGCAGCAGAACGTTCCTAATATCTTCTATTCCTAAGTATTCAAGCATGTGAGATTAAATGATTATTAGTCCTACATCACTTCACATGCACTAATTATTTTAGCAGACATTAAGCTGCTTTCTGTATGATTAACAATATAAGGAAATACAGAAAACAGTGCCGGAGCTTTACATTTCTCAATATCAGATAATATCTATTACAGCTTTTAATACAGAAAATTTCCATGTAAATAGGAGTAATAATTTACGTATTCATTTTTGAAACCATTATAGTACATATTTAAAATGTTTTAAACCAAATTCAGCACACGCAATTTAAACTTTTATTATATCATTATTGTTGAAGTGCAGTCTCCTTTAAGCACAATCTTGCCTACAGACAAGTCTTTATTGACCAAACTTAGGAAATTTGGGAAAATGTAATTTCTATTGTCAGGCTGTCCTCTAGTCTGTTGGCATTTTTATAACTCGCAGCTTTCTGGCACGACAAAATCTACCCATGCAACCAGTCAGTGCAGACTATGGCAGATCAAGCGGCACATCCATGCCATCTGATTGTGGTTTGCATTGTTTGCTATTCTGAGTAAGTAAATATTTTGGAATTGTCCCAAAAAATGATGAATGGTTTTTAAATTTTCCCTACAGATGATGATGGTGTTGTCCAGATTGAAAGATGGACAAGTCTATGTTAGTTATTTAGGGTGGTTAGGATTAATTAAATGAGGAAAGTAGTGATGCCTTCTATAATAAGTTTGATATTTGTGATTAATAATCAGACATAGGCTATAGTAACTAGTTTTATAAGTGACCTGTATTTAGAAATGTTCTTTAATAACAGGTTTTATATGACATTGTGGTCTATATCTGAAATTGGTCCTTTCAGTATAGTAAGACAGTAAGACAAACTTTATTTCTGGTAATGGTTAACAGTACAAAACATTAGCATCCCAAAGGATGAAAAAAGTATTAAGAAACAAAAATAAACAAATAAATGTGAAGATAGTAATACATACAATTAATTCATATTGTTATTGTAATGAAATCAGAGCCTTTATTTTCAGATAGTCTTTAATAACAGGTTTTATATGTGGTCTGTATTTTTCAGACAGTCATTTAAATAACAGGTTTAAATGTGGTCTTTAAATACATCAAAGTGGTCTTTTGTCTTTTATTTTTATATTCCCGAAAGAATTTCTGGCATATAATGTTATACCCCTGACGTCCGTCCGTCCGTCTGTCTGTACGAACCCAGAGGTACTTGTGTGACTTGGAGAACATTATGGGTAACAGTAAATTCTCTTTGATCCTATTCATTCTGTTTTTACTTTTGTGTCTTTTGTTAAGCCTTGTGTGACTAAAAATGGCCAAATAGATCAAAGGAAAAGTCACATAAATACCATTTTGTGAGAATTCTAAACATTACTTTTAAGTTATACACTGGACAAGGAAAAGTAACAAAGGGCAATAACTCTACAAATACTGAAGATGGAGTTATGGTTATTGTACAATGCACTTCCTCTCGTTTCGCTTGGCAATTGTATGAAGTTGTATTGAATTCCAACTACTAGTTTTCAAGTTATGCACTGGACAAAAAAGTAACAAACGGCAATAACTGTAATGAGTCAAATAGAGTTATGCTTCTTCTGCACTGCACTTCATTTCACTGCCCTTGACCATTGTATGAAGTTTCATTGAATTCCAAACATTAATTTTCAAGTTATGCACTGGACATTAAAAAGTAACAAAGGGCAAAAACTCCTAAATGAGTCAAGAAAGAGTTATGGTTTCTGTGCACTGCACTTCCTCTCAATATACTTGACCATTGTATGAAATTGTATTGAATTCCAAATAGTACTTTTCAAGTTATGCTCTGGACAAGAAAAAAGCAAATGGAAAAGTAACAAAGGGCAATAACTCAATAATTACTCTAGACAGAGTTATGGTTCTTATGCACTGCACTTCCTCTTAATGTGCTTGACGATTGTATGAAGTTGTATTAAAATTCCAACTAGTAGTTTTCAAGTTATGCTCCGGACAAGGAAAAGTAACAAAGGGCTATAACTCTGTAATTAGTCAAGTTATGGTTCTTCTGCACTGCACTTCCTCTCAATGTGCTTGATCATTGTATTAAGTTGTATTGAATTCCAACAATTAGTCTTCCAGTTATACTCCGGACAAGGAAAATGCAACGAACGTCTGGACCGACCGAAAGACCAACCAACTGACCACCGGGTGACTCCTTTATACTCCCCCAAACTTTATTTCGGGGGTATAATAAACACATAAGATCATTTTACATAGCTTTCATTTCAGCAATCACATGAAGATTTTTAAAGGTTTTCCATAATGCTGCAATGTTACTTTGTTTTTCTTATTGGAGCTTGATACCTTTGCATGCTGACAAGACATGCTATTGTAAGCTGCTCAAAAAGGTCACTGTAACATCAATCTTGTAAACCACAAATATAAATAGGACTCTTCAAAAATTTTAATTTAAAAAGTCCATTTTATAATATCTGGTTGGGGGAGGAAGGTGATAGGGGATGTTGCAAATGGTATATACCTACCTCTTCACTGTTTAAAGCTGAGGGAACCCAGGAATATCCCTCTCGTAATGTTTGTTCTTTCGTTGACTGTGATTGCGGGTCATCTTCTCTATGCCAGCCCAGTCTGTCTCGAACATTGACAAAGTTCTCATTGTAAATGTCGTGAAGTTCTCTGGGACATCGACAAACTGAGCAAGTACTCCTATAGAAAATTGTATTAAATTTCTAATTCCAACATATTATATGTACATAAAGTTTTTATATATCCAGTAACTTGTAAATGTTTGAAGCAATTGATGTAACATTCAGCAAAAAAGCATTGGGTTATGAAGATCTTTGTTGCTCTGGTTCATACAGATGTTTGCTTGGACTTTTTATGAGATGCACAGAAAAAAAAATGAGAAATTTCTCAAGGTTATAAAGTAGGTACTAGTAGTAGATACAGCTGTGTGAAACAGTTACAGAAATTTAAATCTCGTTGTTTTTAATAGAAACAACATGCTAATTTTGGAAAGCCACGTCTATAAAAAGCTTTAAGCTCCTTGAATTATGTCTGATTTTGCATTCTATACAAGTAAGATTTGAGACTTCCAGACAAATACTTTAATAAAAATATTAAAAAATAATAATGTTTTCTATTAAAGAATAAGATTACAAAATAAATTTGAAATTTTGATACTGCTAAAGCTGGTGTGAAAGGAAATCACATGTTGCATTATGTTTAAACATATTTATCTTCGCTTCTTTGTGTAACAAGTTCTTGCAACTTATTTCATTCATCTACAAGTCATTTTTCTGGAACTATAAACCTTGAGTACTTGTGCAATTTAGTAAACATAGTAGACAGCCAAAAAAGGGCTTTTGCTCACATGTTGTGTTTACTAACAACCCAAGAAACTCAATCAAAGAGGGTCTAATTCTTTTAAACAATTTTGTTTTCATTTCCCTCAAAAAAACTTCTCTCCAATTCATTGTTGTACTGACATGTAATTAAGACCTACCTCCATTCATGCTGCTTGAACCCACTACATTTGTCTTCACATGCCAAACATGGCTGTCCTACATCAACCTCATTTACCACACATTCCTGAAAATATACAAACAAAAATATTATAATATCATAATCTCTCAACATCCTCCCGTGGTGATTGTATGTTTTACATGCATACTGTTCTTAAAATATATTTTATCAATATAACTTATCCTTCACATGAACTGGAAATTCTATAATCAAGAATAAAATTATAAGATGTTTGTGAAACATGACTTTAATAATGCCCCCAAATGACAACCAAAACAAATGTAAGTCATGTAACATGGACTTCTTAAATGTAAATTTTTGTAAATAACATAATGTAACTGTGACAGTGATATTCTGTCTTTTCTGCAATGCAACAGAGATTTAGAGCACATATTAATCTTCATTATAATGCAATAGTTTCCTTAATTGAATGATTTAGACACATTTTATGGCAAACAATATTTCATTGGTTATGATCACTGTGACTTTGACCTTTAACTTGACCTACTTACCTTAAAAAATATTCAAGGTCAACGACAAGCTATGACCAACCAAACCAACCAAATCTAAAGGACTGTAGGCCAAACGTTTGTCGGTCAAACCTATTGTTATTGTGCCCTTTGACTCAAAATCACTTTAAAGGGTCATCTACTAGTCATATGACTAACTTTCACAACAAATCTTAGGCAAAAGCTTTCTCTAGTTATTGGTTAGACTTTGAATGACTAATTGACCTTGACCTAAAGAAGCCCAAACCTATATTCTGCCCATCCTCTCATTATGATTAAAATTGCTGCCAAATAGTTTTAGTTTCTTTCCATCAATTCAGAAGATTAAAACAGACTATTGATTGAATGTGACCTTGACCTTTATAAAGGAGGGCCAATCCTGCACATGGAACATCATCTCATTTCTGCCAAGGGATTTCAATTTTCTTTTATCAGTTTAAAAGATACATATAGCAGACATGAAATTACTTACGGACAGAAAAACAGCCATACACATAACATTATATGCTGAATTTATTTTGGGCATCTTCAAACTTTAGTTCCCATTAAGTTGATGTTTTATGCCTAAGGATTGGATTTTATCTGTACACCTCATCAATGTGGATGCCTACAGTTAGACATCTTGTAAACAAATTATAGAATGAATTAACTTATAAACACAAGCAATAACACCCTCCTATTTTTAGCAAGTAATTTCACTGACTGCATTTTTTATGCTATGAAACTAATACATTTTAAATCACTCCCCCCATTTTTTTAATCATTTTTACAACCCAACAAACAATTTATTTCTCCTCATGCTGCAAGAGATTTTCATTAAGTTTATTAAATGTGGGATGCTCCCACAAAACTATCTATTTGTAAGCATTTAGATAGTAATTCAATTATATAAAATTATAAGCTGTAGAATGTTTTTAGCACTTACAATAATTAACATTTTTAAAAGCTTATACTGTTTATTACAATATATGTATTTTGCACATGGTATGTCGATTTATGCATATGAATGTATATATTTTTTTAATATATATGTGAAAATAACATTTTTTTTCTTAAAATTCACAATGGATAAATGAAATCACTGTTCTCTGTCTTGCAATCCTATAGAATAATATGTGTGACTTGTCTTGCCACCACAAGCATGTGTGTACCTTTTAAGGAGCATATTTTAAATTGAACCTTTCTTGCAACAGCAAGATATAGACTTGTTTAAATATTATGTCCGAATGTCACAAGAAAATTTTCACTGGATCAGCGTTTGCATGCACAAGGTAGAATGTCTATGAGTCCGGGCATTAGATAGCTTAAACCTGGATTTAAAACAACCAAACTACAAAGTAGATTCCTCACATGAAGTAATTTTATAACACTACTGCCCGGCTTTGCATAGGGGTAAATGATTTCAAGTCAAGGAATTTTTGACCACTAAGCTTGACTGGCTTACAACAGTGAAGATTTTAACCTAAATAAGTCAAAATTTACTCACATTCTCTAAATAAGTTAAACAAGAGGGCCATGATGGCCCTAGATCGCTCACCTGAATTATCAAACTCATCCAAACAATTACCTAGACAAGCATTCTGACCAAGTCTCATGACAGGTGAGTCAAAAATGTGACCACTACAGTGTTAACAAGGATTATCCATATTTGAGCAGTGCGACCTAGTTTTTTACCCAGGTGACACATATTCAAACTTGACCTAGAAATCATCAAAACAAACTTTCAGACCAATTTCCAGGATACTTGGATCAAAACAGTAGCAACTAGAGTGTTAACAAGATTTTTCTATTTTTAGCTCCGGTGACCTAGTTTCACATGCGATTTCGAACTCATCCAAGCAATTACCTAGACAAGCATCCTGACCAAGTTTGATGATAATTGAGTCGAAAATGTGACCACTAGAATGTTAACAAGGTTTTTCCATATTTGGGCGGTGTGACCTAGTTTTTCATCCAAGATGACCCATGTTCGATCTTGACTTAGAAATCATCAAAACAAACTTTCAGACCAATTAACAGAATATTTGGATCACAACAGTAGCCACTAGAGTGTTAACAAGATTTTTTATATTTTTAGCTCCTGTTACCTAGTTTTTCATCCGAGATGTCCCATGTTCGATTTATTCCCAGCAATGACCTAGACAAGTTTCCTGACCAAGTTTGATGACAATTGAGTCAAAATTGTGACCACTAGTGTTAACAAGGTTTTTCTATTTTTAGCTCCTGTGACCTAGTTTTTCATCCGAGATGACCCATGTTCGAACTCATCCGAGCTTTCACCTAGACAAGCATCTTGATCAAGTTTGATGATGATTGATGCAAAAATGTGACCGCTAAAGTGTTAACAAGGTTTTTCTATTTTTAGCTCCGGTGACCTACTTTTTCATCCGAGATGACCCATGTTCGAACTCATCCAAGCTATCAACTAGATAAGCATCCTGACCAAGTTTGATGATGATTGATGCAAAAATGTGACCGCTAGAGTGTTAACAAGGTTTTTCTATTTATAGCTCCGGTGACCTAGTTTTTCATCCCAGATGACCCATATTCGAACTCATCCGAGCTATTATCTAAACAAGCATCCTGACAAAGTTTGATGATGATTGGGTCAAAAATGTGACCACTAGAGTGTTCACAAGGTTTTTCTATTTTTAGCACCTGTGACCTAGTTTTTCATCAGAGATGACCCATGTTCGAACTCATCCAAGCAATTGACTAGACAAGCATTCTGACCAAGTTTGATGATGATTGGTTCAAAAATGTGACCACTAGAGTGTTCACAAGGTTTTTCTATTTATAGCTCCTGTGACCTACTTTTTCATCCGAGATGACCCATGTTCAAACTCATCCGAGCTATCACCTAGACAAACATCCTGACCAAGTTTGATGATGATTGGGTCAAAAATGTGACCTCTAGAGTGTTCACAAGGTTTTTCTATTTTTAGCTCTTGTGACCTAGTTTTTCATCCGAGATGACCCATGTTCGAACTCATCCGAGCTTTCAACTAGATAAGCATCCTGACCAAGTTTGATGATGATTGAGGCAAAAATGCTACCGCTAGAGTGTTCACAAGCAATTGTGGACGGCCGGACGGACGACGGACGACGGACATTCACCGATCCTAAAAGCTCACCCTGAGCAAGCTCAGGTGAGCTAAAAAAAAATATTGATGCAACCTTTAGAGATTCTTCTTATATACTCAATTTTTACTGTAACTTTTATAGAAAATAGCCAATAACTAAACTGCATGTTGAAGCTTATTGTTTGTAATAAAGGATTTGAACTCTACAGATCTGTTGATTTAAAGCATTCTACAAACTGTGAGATAATGCAGGAGATTTTCAGATATAATGAATAATTATCTGTCAGAACTTGAAAAATTGAGATAAGATAAATTTGTGTGTGTGGCTTTAATGAAAACTTTCTCTCATTAAGTAATGTTTATACTCATTACATGTGCATTATGTGAACATTAACCTGTAAAAACGTTTCACAATCCATCATAATAATCTGCCTGCATCACTTATTTACTTGAGAAGAATGGATTCCCATCTGTACAGTTTTGAGCAGCTTAATTAGCACATTGTTTTAATGTTTTGAAACACAACAACAAGTTTCTGTTGTTTGGAATGGTAAACAATTTTAATGAACATCATCACAGCTTTTGTTAGACAAACCCCGAAAACAGTCAACAACATTAAATTTTGTCATGAATATAGAACTTAAAGCTATATCCCATATAGATATGTCAACTGACCATGGTCTTTCTAATTGTTGTTGGATGACCAACTACTATTGATCTGACATGATTACAAAGTATGAATCAGATTATCTTGTTAATCCAAACCCAATATTTCATAATTGAAATAATTACATAATCTTTTCGGATTATGACATTAAAGGGTATAATCACTGGTAAAATAAATCATAAAAAGTTTTTGAAAAAAATCTACACTCACATTGTTTTTTTTATAATTATTCTGATATACATATATTATAATAATATGTACATATAATGTGTAATAATATGTAAAAATACAATATTTACAGAGAGTCTTTATGCACAAGAATTACACAACTTTACGTGAGACAAAATCTATCAAAAAAAGCACAAGTCTTGTGTACAATACATGTCAACTTCCGGGGGAAAAAAGAGTGTAACTACATTATGGTCTATCATCATTGTTCTTAGTGGATCTTCTGGAACGAACAGATGCAACATTTTAATATTCACTTTGTAAACCAAACTCTGCCAAAAATGAGATCATCAAAGGTATTATATGTCTAAGATTTTTTTCTTCAGACCAGACATACCACATATGTTCAACGTAGTCAGTTTAAAAGATGAGCAAGAAACATAATAAATGTCAATGTATTCTTTAAACAAGACTTGTATGAGGAGACATGTCTAAATGACAGCACACTCAACTGTTCTCAGAGCTGGATAGTTTACTTAATGCAACAGAGAAAAGGGGGAATAATTCTGCCAAAGTGCTAAGCAGACTTTACTTGCCCCTGATTATCAATTTGAAGTGAATACCTGTCCTGTAATAGTT